AGCGCACCTTCGCTCGGCATTTCTGCGAGAACGGTCATAATTCCAGTAAATAAGCGAAATGCAGGGAACTATAAATCGGCTATTTCTGCTGACCAATAATAAAGTGCTTTTTTTCAGAAACCCGCATGGCTTCTGTCCCATCACACTCGTCGGGATATAATGGGTTCTATGCAAATAAAAACTCCATATATTGGCATGCAATTGTTTAGGCAGAAGCCCTGTGACAGGAGACTCGCCAACAGGTAGTTGGTAGGAGGAGGGGGAGAACGCAAAGCCGTAAAAATAGCATTACTGTAAATTTGTAAGTAGGCGGTCATAATACATAACCACCTTCGAAGACCCCACGAGGTACTCTTACCCAAGTTAAAACCCAAAAAGTCGGGCCAAAAACTTCTTATTCTAGTGATCACACCTTCTGAACAACTGTGTCCCTTTGGACAACAACATAGAAGTCAGAGAGTATTAATCACTAACAAACCAATCGGTGTTTTAAAGCCTGAAAAACAGAATCATGCTTGACTTAACTCGATAAGAAGGAAACAATTGTCTGACGCGGTGACGACTAGTGTGTAAGTCCACCTAGTCCCTACTTCCATGAAAAACGTACTTTATGTACTGTTCAGTAGCCTCAACTTAACTGTCCGCTCAGTATCCTACACACAAAGCCTGACGACGGCATTGTGGCATGGCGAGCGTGAACCGCCATCAAATAATTTCGCTTGCCATCGCTGCCTTGTGGTTTGGCTATTGAGCCAAAGCGCTAGAGGAGACAATCTCGAACAAACAAGCCGTACGGTTGTTGGGGACCCGCCCGTACTCAAAACTCCCAAGTCGCCTTATGAGATATATGTCCGATACCTGCAATACGATCCATGTTCTCTCAGGTGTTAATATAAGGATAAAAGGTTTGGCTTCAGATCCGAAGATAAAGCATTAGATGTTAAGGCTAGGCTCTAGATATGGGTTTAGGCCGTTAAAGTTGGTACTTTCAATTATATCTTCAGTCGCAGCTTCCATAAAACTTTCGCATGCACTGCTACATCTACCTATCCACCGGGGACTGCAGGCACTCACCATCTTGATAATGGCCGCCACAAGTTCCCTCAATGGTTAGGACGTTAGTCTCTGACCGGAGAGACGCGGGTTCGAAACTCGAATGTGGCAGCAATTTCAGCGGCTACACTAGAGTTGGCTATCACTAGCTGACGACAGCTAGTAAGCCGGAAATAGGTATCCTAGCGTGCTTGTCTTTGCCGGTAATACCTATAAAAATATGTATACTTATATGACGAAAGGGGAAGGCTCTCCTACTATATGTAATTTAGTAGGCGTAGTTGCGCTCATTACTGCAGTAGAAAACTTAGAAATCTTGAGCTTTCTATGGTTACTTTTAGCTTTATTAGTTTTAGTGTAGTCTTCAGTTTGTTAGTTTAATTTTAGTTATAGTTTTATTTAGCTTAATTTTTAATTCAATTTAGTTTTTTAAGCAACAGACGGTTGCATGTCGGCTTATCGCACTACATTATCTGTCCAAATGCTTGAGAAGCTATTGTGAGTTTTTTTAATGTGGGGAAAAGCCAATCTCTCATGGTTTTATTTTAATCTCTAAATTTCAACATCAGTATCAGC